AGTCTATGGTGGGTATGAACTATGTGAATAAACTGGTTCGGAGAACCCTCTGCCTAATTCACTACATTCAATTACCCACTATAGACTCCGTTTAGTCAAAATGACTATTTTGAACTGTAGGCAGAGTCAGACGCCGATAGGTGGCGGGTTTTCCGAGCAAACAGAAAATGATGAAAGTTTTTTTTCACAGTCCGGGAGGATAGACTCTACAACTACCACTCATCACCTAGTTAAGACCCCAAAAGAGGGTGGTGTCTTATCTTGCCTGTGCTGTTCCCGGAGCAAAAAGCCAAAAATGCTGCTACGGTGACAGGGTTTGGTGTGCCGAGAAAGCTAGACCTAAACCCAATTCAGGGGGTAGTATGCTTTCGAAGTAAAGGCCGAAACAGTTCTGCATGAGGACATAGGCCAAAAAGCGAGACCTGGAAACTTCCAAGGAGTGCTGACGGTAGAGAAATCTGACCGCAAAGATGTCGTGACCGACTTATTGCCTATGCGCAGGGACCCTTGTGGTCGTTTGGGCTGACCGTAGCCTGACCCGCTATGACGGGATCCTAGCTAACAAGGCCCTCCTCAATGTATTAGTTGATAAAGACGTTTTGCGTTCTCCAGAAGCATGCCCTCAGTATATGTTCCAGGGGGTGCCTGACGCTAGCGCTAGTGAGTTAGCAATCACACAGACCTCATGCGCTCATACTTGGTGTCACAGAGCTGGCTCTGTGTCGAAGAAGTTAAAGTATTATGGATCTCTAATACAGTCTCAGAAATCCACCTGGCGATGGAAGTCGGGGAGGCCAGCCTATCCTGCCTGCCTGGGCCGTAACACAAAAACATGGGCTTGGCACCCCGTCTCGAATCCCTATAGTACTGTTTTCGTAGCAACTCAGTGCTCAAACCGGGCAGAAAAGCAATTCCTCCTGATCCTCTGGGCCGACAATATTTGACAGCCGAGGGATGACGATCGGCTGAGGATTGTGTCCTGGGATTTGGTTCTTGGCGAGAACCCCGATTCGTGTCTTTAGCACAACTTGATTGTCCATAAGGGTGGCACACTCGTCCGAGGACAATGCCTCCAGTTCTGACCGACGCCTACCTGAGGCGAGGGCCAGTGGGAAGACTGTTTTCCACATCAAAAGTTTGAGTGGTGCTGATCAGAGATGCTCAAAAGGCAGTCTGCTTAGAGCGGACGACACAACCAACAAATCCCAGTTGGGCGGTTCCCTAGTTCGGGGTCTCGGCCTCTGATTATGGAAAGCAGTAAATAGTCGCCTAATAATGGAACAAATGGCTAGACTTGTTCCTAAAGCGTTCTCAATGGTGGGGGACAAGGCCGACCTGTAGCCAACGATCGCTGCGTAGGACAAACCTACTTCAAACAGGTGGACGAAGGAGTTTGCTACCTGGCCAATAGAGGGATGACATGAATCGATTTCCCTTACGCTACACCAATCAGTGTATGCTCTCCACCTTGAAGGTGGTGTGCGATTAGCTCCACATTGTATTCCAGGCACCAAAGGAGAATTTGCTCTGCTAGGACTGACAACGATGGGGAACGCGTCCCCCCTCCTTGTTGAAGGAGACCACCGCTGTGTTGCCTGTGCGGAGCAGGACTCTGTGGTCTCGAACTACGGGTAGAAAGTGTGGTAGTGCACTGCTTTCAGTTCGAGCCGGTTGATATGGCGGTCCCGAAACTAATGCAGGGCCATATACCTTGGGCTTGTTTGTCCAATAGATGCACTCCCCAACCTTAGAGGGAGGCATCTGTTACCAGAGTCATTGCTGCGAGTGGGTCCAAGGGGACCCACTGTCCAAGGTTAGCCAGTGACGACCAGTAGGGCAGGGCTTCCTTCGCTTGGTCCGCGATCAATACCCGCCTAACTAGTTTCCACAAGTGAGCTCGGTGTTGTAGCAACAAGCGTTGTACCGGGCTGCTGTGTAATGCGGCCTGGGGAACTACCCTTCAAACCAAGGTCATCATTCCGATGATCCGCATTAGTTCTCGGAAGGACACTGAGAGAACACTGACTAGGCGTTCGGCTAGGCTGCTTAGCGCCAAGCAACGCGCTTGAAATAGATATACCAAGCCTACCTCTGTGTAGAACTCCTTGCCCAGGAACACCAACTGTTGTGTTCGGTAGGGATGGGACTTTGTCTGATCTACTAAAGAGCCGACTGGTGAAGTAAATCCTGTGTTAGCCTTACTTGTCCGGCTAATAACCCCTTGTTTGAGTTATGTAATAACCAGTCGTCTAGGTACGGATTGATGTGAACCGACGTTTGGTGAAGCAGCAGCACCACCTGTTTCATCCATTTTGGTGGAACATAGAGGGCTGTGCATAACCTGAAGGGGGGGCACCCGAGATTCAAATACTTGGTCCAGCTGGGAGACTCGAAGGAGATGGAAACTCGCCGGGTGCATCAGTATGTGCAGGTAGGCCCCGCTTAAGTCTAGTGAGGCTAGCCAGTCGAAACGGTGGATGGAGAGAAGAACGCTGCATGGTGTCTCCATCGAGGAGCAGATACTGATTCAGTCTGCCTAGATCCAGAACTGGACGACCACCACCTGTAGATTTGGTACTAGGAACACATTTGAGGTGAAGCCTGGACTTAATGCCAGCTGATCTACCTTGTGTATGGCGCCCTTTTCCAGCAAACTGTCTACTTCCTGTCTGATTGCTTCCGCCTTGCGGGAGTCCCCTTGCAGTGCCCCCAATGGGGGAGACACTGACGAGGGAGATGGAGATTTCGGTGGTACTGTAAAGGGGGTAATTATTCACTGGGTTTTAATTTAGCTTATTTCGCTGACTGGAAAAATGCGCTAAATTACAATCGTTTTCACTAAACATTGGACAATCAGATTGTGGTAAATGTTGATACATCAGAGCAAGTACCTAATGAAATTGCCACTGATTTTATCACTACTAATCAAAACATTATAACTGTAGCCTAAACATTTTTGATACAATGTATATCTGTCTGAGTCCAAGGCGCCATTCTCTCTTTTATTGTTTGCGCAAGACATTTCGTTTTTTAGCGTGAACAGTGTGAATTCTGACCAGCATTGCTGATTTACAATGCTCTTTGGACAATGGCTGAATATCTTTTCAAGCTACATTTTACTTATTACACGGAGGACAGAATTGTTCCCACCTATGTTAAAAAAGACGAGTTTATGTGCATGTCATATCAAAATTTTGTTGAATATCCATGCGAACAGATTGCTTTTTTAAGGCGAATGCAGGCTATTCGTCTGCAAATCATCAAGGAAATACAAGTGAATATATATTGTTTTAATACTGGTACAAGTTGACTTCCATTTCAGTTCGTATTGACCAAATTTGACATGCCCTGGGCGTGATGTGACCAATGGCGTCTGCTATAGCAAACTCAGTAAATCTATAAGAAAATTCCTGGTTTCCCCCCAAATACGATTTTATAGACCGAACACATTGTTCACAGATTATACTGGGGACTGTATGGTGGTTGAAAAATTAGGTGCACTCCTTGCTGTTGTAATAAATGTACCAAATTAGGTTCGACAATCCTGGCGGAATGAAAACCACAATTATCCTTGATTACACAATATCCCGGTGCCAAACAACGATTTCCAACATGGTCATGATTTTATAGACCGAACACATTGTTCACAGATTATACTGGGGACTGTATGGTGGTTGAAAAATTAGGTGCACTCCTTGCTGTTGTAATAAATGTACCAAATTAGGTTCGACAATCCTGGCGGAATGAAAACCACAATTATCCTTGATTACACAATATCCCGGTGCCAAACAACGATTTCCAACATGGTCTTCTACATTGACTGCTTCAAAGAAAAAGTTCATCATTTCTATAGCATTGGAAGGTCCAACAATGATATCGGATTGTTCGACACCAAATATACTTGTAAGCAGGTTTATTGTGTAAATAATATTAACGCAAACCGCTGTATTTCTGTCGCCGGTGTACCAATTTCTGCATGCCCGTAACGCCGGTTTCCAGTAACTAAAAATATATACGAATGACAGA